CATGTATATTCGGAGTTTTACCGAAAACCTGGAAAGGAGTACTCCTCCCGTATCGTCTCACAAACCGTATCATTGGCTTCTTTTGTCGGAGAAGAATACAGTAGGTGTTTTAAATGAAAAATCTTCGAAACTGAAATGTAATTTTGGATAGAAAGACACACTTTCTTTTTAGCTATGTTTTAAAATGTTATTCGGCTCACGTGTATGAGTATGTAGCGTTTTATAGTGCTCCACGCACTACTGAAAAATAGGATGTTGAAGAGAGTAATACTGCTTCGATTTATCTAAATAATTGTAGGACAGCAGATATAAAAAAAGAAATGCTTCATTGTTAGAAACTTGAAGTGAAAAGTCTGTCATAAAAATATTTCATGACATCTTATCCAGGATGCGATAACTGTCGGTCTGGTAATCTAGAAAATTTACGAGAAATAATGGCGAGCATGAATATTACAACTGAGGAGAAAGCTCCGATCGTTCCAGGTGAATTTTAACTAGTGAGATCATTTGTATGTCTCATCATCTCTAAGCTTATTGTGTTTATCGCATATTCAAAAATTTATAGCATATTGAGCTCAGACTTTTCAGTTTCTGCTTACGACGATGAACAGCTGGTTGCTTCGGACAAAGTTGCACTAATTATAAGTAACTGCATGTACCTTCATCTCCCGAAGTTGGTAACACCTCACTGCGATGCAGAAACGTTAGCGACAGCTCTGCAAGTCTGTTTAGTCTCATATTCACTGCTCCGAAATCCCATTTCCTAGTTTTCCATTTCAGGACCTCAAATACAAAACTGTCACACTAGCGGATCTCACGTTGGCCGAAATGAAATTTGTGCTTAAAGAATACAAGAAACTCCTAGGAAATGGAGTTTATGGTAAGGCAATTGTTTTACTTGCAGTAGCAATCCTGGATTTTTTAAAATTTCAGCGGTTTTTTATTTTGTTGGCCACGGTTTTGAAGTGAACGGACAGTGCTACCTCTTACCAGTAGAGGCTCCCTCAGAGGCACACAGACCAGAACATTGTCTCTCCATGGATTTTGTTCTAAACGAGCTGAGTGATCACAATCCTGCGCTAAACCTGTTGTTGCTCGATGTCTGCAGAAAATTCATCCCGTATGTTGCAGATAACACAATATGAAATTAAAATCCCTATTTTTTCAAACAATGAAAAGCTTAACTACACTACTAATGAACATGATTAAAAAAAAACTTTTTTGTGGATTGAATGATTACTACTATTTTTCAAAAGGAA